GAGTCTCTGCAGGCAGAATTGAAAAGCATAGAAGAACTCTCTGTAACAGTCACGTTAAATGTCAGTAATGCCCTCATGATTTTGATGGCAATAACGCTACCATCATTTACAGTCGTAGGCAAATGCAAATTGATCATAAAGAATTTTTGAAACTTACATTAGCAGAGGCACAGTAGCCAAGCAATGAATATGACACCCCTTTACAGGTCAAAGGCATGGAATGAAACAACTTCGGTTTGATGCCTCAAACCGAATGATTCGTTTTTTGACCTGCTGGTGTGTTGTCATATAATTACTGTTATTACTAATTCAGTAAGCTCATATTTTTTTATATGGACGATTTGCCAGTAACCACGGTCTAAGGATAGCCTAGAAGGAGAATTCCCATGATCATATATGCGCATTAAGCCATTAGCGTCCCTACAGACATGCTGAGGCAATGGCCAGTCACTATATGTTAGCAGTCGTTGTTGCGTTAAAGTTAATGTGGTTAAGTCGATATGTTTCAGTGTTGGTAGTGGTCTTCGCCAAGGCTGCATTAAGTTACCTCTCTTTTTCACAGATTGAAAAGTAAGGCATAGAAAGAGGCGACGAACATATTAGAACAGGAGATGTGGAAACAAGAAGGCTGTTGCTCACAGATGATATTGTTTTACTGCCATCTGCAGCGCCATCAGGAAGGGATCGCGGCCGAGTGCAATTTGGCCTGCATGCGTATGGAAGTGTCTAAGACGAAAAGCCGTGGCTTCTTGTTCTTCTGCCATTGGCTTCTGCGAATTGGATTGGCCAACGGAGTTCTACGTGAACTTGCCATAACCGCTGTGAATAAGGCAGAGCTGAGACTGAAGACTAAGTTCACTGCCTTTCAGCCTATATGCATGCTGGAGTTCAGTTACGGTAATGAGTCGTGGGCCATGACTGAAAAAATTCAATCCTAAATACAAGCGGTTCAAGTGGGCTGTCTGTGGAAGAAGAATTGCTGAGGTCACGTGTCAGACATGGTCCGGAGTGTAGATATTCGGGAGATCTGCAGTTTGCAGCCACTGCTTCTCGAGATTAAGAAGTTACAACTGCAATCGTCTGGGTATACCTTTCAAGTGCTTCCTCAAAGGTGGGCCAAGCGGTTCCTGGTTGCCAAGCTGTTCAGCCGAGGACCAAAGGAAGCTAGGAATAACTTGCACCAATTGCATCGAAGCTTCATGCCACTGCTTCATACTCGGGATATCGTCTGCCAGAGCTCAACAGCTGGCATGGAATTGGGATAATTGACGTCATTGACTGACACGTGTGTCTTTACAGCCCCAAAGGATGACCTGTAATCGAAACTGACCTCTGACTGGTAACTGTTGTTTTTAAATTGTCATTTGCTAACTCAGACAGAGGTGAAAGTGAAGTTGTATTATTAAAATTTTAGGTACTAGGAGAAAGCTTATTGCTAGCTGCTCTGAAAAAGGAAGCTGGAAGCCACGTACAAGTGCAATTATCTGTATTGCTGTATCTCTGTTACGATATCCCTTACCAACGTGAGTCGATGCCTCATCATCGACATGACAATATTAGCGTTTTTGTTATGGTTGTTGAGGTACAGTTCATCGTGTTTTTTCTGAAAATGAAAGAGAGTAGGCCTAGTTTATTATGATTTTTGAACAGGGTTTAAATTGCGCTAAATTCAAATTTTGCGTGCAACACAGAAGTCATACTCATATACGCAAACGGTTAATGTCAATTCTTTGTCTTATTCTTAAATAAATTGTGATCTTCACTGATGTAAGCACAAGTACAGACAGACAGATGATAGCCTTTGTGTAATTGCCGACGTTTCATCCAAATTACTTTGGCCAATCTTCAGGTTACTGTAGGCGGATTTATGTTTATCTGTTTGTCTCGAACCATTGAAGTGGAAGTTTAATTTCAGTCATGCATTTTCTCATTTCGTCAGCCAGAAAACTTGAATCACCTGATGTAAGTCTTGGGATGCAACCGTCAATAAACTAGAAACTAAAAACTGGAATGACAAGGTAATGATGAAAGGTCAGCAAAGCTTTTGAAAGCTTACAGAGAAACACCGTAGCCACAGACTTGCATCGGTTTGTAAGCATGGCTCATGGAATGCTGGAGTGATGACCGGACGTATTCTGCGGTTATAGGTGACCATAGAAAGGCAATCGAAGCCGCTCGTTGTAGTTCACAGCAACTGTTTTGCTGGTTTAGTCCTGCTTTCAATAATTATAGATTGAGAAGCAAGATAGCGAGACCTATATGGCGCAAAATCAGGCCATTATTTGATTTTGGAGTTGGCGATTCCGCAGTGAAATAAATAATATTTGATTTCCTCAATTTATGAGCGCTCGCTTTACGTTGTAAAAGTTATTGCGCTGCATGAAATATCAATATCAATGACCAGCAATTCATAAAAGCAAAATTCATATGAACACTACCCAACTGGTAGACATTCTTATGCCAGCCACGTCAGACGAGATGCAGTTGATTAGCATTTTATACTCAGGCATTTTCACTTTTAGTTTGGAATGCCCATGGCAAACGCAGTGTTGAACTGCAATGAAACGCGGACACCAAATTTTATTAACGAAAAAAATACACAAGGCACGTAAAAACAGAAAATATGCAATAAATATATTAGAAACTCAATGACCGGATAGCCTCATCTCAAAAAAAGTCAAAATAATAAAATTACTGTAACAAAATATGCAAAATGTCATACACTTTCAGCGACAGCCGCGGCTGTCTAAAGCAGAGATTTACTTGCACCAGCGTGCAGGAGAATAACTTAATGGATAACCGTACGCAAAGACGGTATTCGTCAAAGAGCACAGTCTGAAAGCCTCCGTTTCCATGCATGTTAGGGTGTCTAACATTTTTTTTACAATGCACCCGATGGCTCCGTCGAGCGGCAATGCCGTCGTCTGTGGGCCATTCCGTTTCCCTGTCCACTTTAGGAGGACGAAGTTTAGCGAAAGAGAGAAGAAGGGATCGGACAAACGCTTCACTGAGGTTCAACTCAAGACGCTGCCAAACGATTTGAAGAAGCGTTTGCTGAAATTCTGAAACATACCAAAAACTCGTTCTTCAACCTCCGGATGGTTTCTTATTAAACTCATATACCGTAGACATATTCCGGCCGTAGTTCAGGTGCGCGTAAATCAGGACACCGATGTTCTTGTAGCCACTGTCGACGGCAATCGAAAGAGCGGTGCTACCGTCCTGAAGCGAAACATACGTAAAAGCGTGACAAACCATGGGATATCTGATCATCGGTAGGGGCATACATTATCGGCCAAACTGGCGTCGATGTCCGGATGGGCAAGCAGTAACGATACAATGTCTTTGTGACCGTGTTCAGCGGCGCACATCAGCGCCGTCGAGCCATCGTCGTCTTGCATGTTCACTCCGGCTCCGGCGTCTATCAGCAGTTTAACCGTTTCGATTTTGTTCTGACTAACTGCCAGCATCAATGCAGTTTGGCCATGCTGAAAGAGATCGCTATGAAAGAGGCAAAACGAGGTTAGTAAAGCCGGTGGACCGAAGAATATGTGAAAATGCAGAAGTTAAACCGACAGTGAGATGTCATCTGCGTCACAATCTGTTTACGAGTCTAACCTTGGTTACTCCATATCATAGCATACCCATAGCATATAATCATGCCGATGGATTTCGATTCCGAATACAGCAAATAGCAATCAGCTTTCTTTGAAGGATTGCCAGTTCCTCTGAAGAACCTCATAACAAGACAGTTGAAGAAACCCTGCGATAAGTTAAGAACGTGATCAGGATATCAGAGGAAAGACTAGTTCCACGGACTTCGCAATCACCACCAACGTGGAACCTGGCCAAGAAACAACCTGATAATCATGATGTTGGATCATGCCTATCACGTGGCGCTGATTGACTTGAAATTCATTTCGCAGAGTTTACCGGATTAACGGAAGAATAGATTTATTTGAAAATTGTCCTGAAGGCGCTCCTTCTACAATTGAGGAAAATTGCCGGTTGAAAAATAGAACTAACTATAGCCTCATGAGTCACAGAAAATAGCTGATGGTCGATTTATTACTTAAAACAAAAGTTTTCAAATAAAATTTGTAATACTGATATCAGATTCACACAGTGAAGAAGTACGGTTCAATGGAAGGAGAGTTTTTTTTACACGGTACGTCGATACTGTAGTAGTGCATGACCGATGAGCTACCGAGCCTTTACACCAAGTTACACCGTCCGCCCCCTTGTTTCGAGAAACATAGAAAGGCAGCACGGGTAGGCGGAATACAGAATCTGGCGGCACGCGTTCGATATGTGGCCAGAACTACTGTTCATGCGAATACATGCACAGAAAACGACCGTCGTGTGGTCACGTAATTGGTGCGGATGCTGCGAGAGATGAATTTGTATGAAAGCTGAAAAGAGCGAGATGAATGGCAGAATCTTGCGATACCTCAAACCTGCTCAATTTGAGGCTAAAGTGGACTTGCCGCCTCTTATAGATTGCATCCAATGAGCGACACACATACGTAGCTTTATATACTTCACCATAGATTTGAAGTGCCATTCCGCCCTTCGATCGCTGACCGTTCTGACTGAAACATAACATACTTAACCTGTATCCTCATAAACGTCAAAATATGTTCGTACGCCGGGGTATGTCACAAAGCGGAAAACTTCTCCAAAACAAGATTTCAAGGCGTATTATACTACTCTCTGCTGCCAGTTGTTCAGCAACGGTTCCAGCACCTGAGTACCTGCTGATACATGTCTGATGTATCTTTCGTCATCCTGTTCGCTAGGACCACTCGCATGAGTACCAGCTCCTGAAACATCGTTCGTGATGAGCTGGAGGTGGCTCTGGCGACAAAACAATGCGAGCAACGTCTGACACCGCAGGTGCTCAAGTACCATGGCACCAGGGCCTGCTTAAACAACCCATCTAGAGACAAGAAGCCGGTGCAGTACACCGTCAAACTTAGTCGTGAAGAAGTTATGCGAAATTTAAAATATGTCATCGGTTATACTGTGGCATTGTCAGCATACATTGCCAGCGAATCTGCTTCGCGTAACAGGCCATACGATTTTGTTAACAACGGCTCGTATATGAACAAGCCGTTCC